TCCTATACCGAACCCGATTCTCGAGTCACAGGTGGTGCACGCGTTCTCGTTGTTACTAAGAATGCCAATTCTCGCCCTACGATAACTGTTGCACGCTGCATTGAACCCTTCCTTGTTACAGTTGCGCTGTAAGGAGGCCTGTGAACCAATGACCTTCTTCCACTTGTTACGACCCAGTGAGGTGGCTCGGTACTTCCCGTCAGCGATCAGTGAGTACAGAGAGTTGGCTGGCTTGTTGATGACAATGAACTTGGTCTGTTGGCCGATCTTCATACCGAGACAGATCTTGGAGAAGGGTGTGTTCCAGTAGGTCGGTAACTTGGTCTCTTGTAAGTCAAACCCAGTCTTGCCTCCTGGAAGGTTAAAATCCTTCTTGTCGGTCCAGTGCGGGGAATTGTTGTGGAAGGTTGACTGAATGAGAGGAAAGAAAAATAGGCAGGTTTTCAAAACTTCGTCAACTTAATTGAACATTCGCAACTTTTTGCCTTCCGTATTTTATCTCTAACTAACCAGACGTCCCATCTGGTTTGTTATACCTTATGGCCATCCGTTTTCATGACCAGTGTCCATCCTCCATCTCCGCATTCGCCTATGCTTGTCATTTGGCAATACACAGGGATCGTTCCACTGTCAGTCTGCAGCATGTAAGCGTTATTTGCTCGAAAACTGATGAATAAAAACAAGATATTTCAGGTTCTGTTATACAAAGCCATTGTATGTAATTGCCTATCCGTTCCAAGTGAATTAAGCCTTAGAGAGGTTAAGAGCAAGCATCAGATCTGTAGCCTCGTTGCAGTCACTGGGAGATGTCTCTTGCCATGGCAAGGACAAAACACTGTGCCCATGACAAAAATCTATCGATGGTTTCTAGCCCCTAAATTTTGGCTCCTCGCTATCCGCATGCTCATGATCAATGCGCTCGACTCTGGGTGGAGCGGTCCGGGTTCGAGCCCTGGCTGTGGATTTAATTTTTTGCTCTGGGGCAAGACATTTAACTCTCACAGTGCCTCTCTCCATCTAGGTGTGAAAATAAGTAACGGCGAATTTAAAGCTTGGGGTAAACCTGCGATGGACTAGGACCCCCATCATTCAGGGGGTAGGTAAATAATCCTAATCGTTTCATACTACAAGCACCAGCAATAAGCTCCGACCTGATGGGCCACTTGCCTCGTATGCAAACTTAACTCTTTTACCCCTCCAGTACAGAAGTGCGCGAGGCCTTTTCAGTAGCATGTGGTAAGTATAGAACGTGAAAAACATTTGATACCTTAACTTACCCGTATTTGTCATACAGTTCCTTGCAAGAAGAGGCTGAAAAGAAAATTGAACTCAGTCGTCATAAAAGAGAGAAAGAAGCGAGAAAAAAAAAGCTAATGAAGATCAATTAGTCTGAGCTTACCTAGCGCAACTGGTAGCGGAGCCGGCGGCGGCGCTGGCATATTTTTAAACAGTGCACCAAGATCTGGCAGCTTCGGTAGTATGGGCTGAATGGCTGTGCCAGAGTCAGCGCCATGTATACCGATCGGAACTAGCAAGGTTGCGCTAAAACAAGTAGCAAACAACAAGTGCATTTTTAGAACTCAACAAAAAAAAACCTTTGAGCGTCTGGACGACTTTTGAAGATCTCTGGTTGCGTTTCCCCGCTTACAAGATGTTTTTGTATGCGCAAATATTTTCTTGCGTGCAGGCACGTTTACATGTGTACTGTGATCGTGACATGTGATCGTGACTTATAACAGCTGTCGTGAGTTGTAATAACAGGTAATGTGTTTGTAATAACGTACCGATCGTAAATTTTCATAACAAGTTGTCGAAATTTGCAATAATCCGAAGTGTTCTAAATTGCCATAATACATTGTGGTGTTTTGTAATAACCCGTAGTGTCAATCATATTTGCATCTGTGCGCACCACTTAACTTTTGCTTCTAGTGCATGTAAGCAAGATACAAGAATATGTTATATAGGAACTCATTTTTTTCTCAAGAGGGCACGGTGACGAATCCTGGAATCTGATTGGTTCTTAGCGCAGTCCGGATTTTCGTATCTCTGACCTCGGTCACGTTAACGGTTTCACAGCCACTTAACTCTTATACAATCCAATGCATGCAACAATAGAGTGTGTTCATTGTCACGCAATGATAATAATAAAGACAAATCAAAAATCATTCAGTGGATAAAGTCAAGAAATTTTGATATCATAGACGATCTGAATAAAGAAGACAGTTTTTCAAGTTTAAGGAGCGTGCGTTGTCCCAAAGTTGAGATATTCGTCGAAATGTTCCGCTCAAAATTATAGAGCCTAGTCCTCCAATATGGCAGCCGGAAAGTTGTGTAAACATCTGGAACTTACTTTGACTATCTAGTCGACTGATTTTCTGAACCGAACCCAAAAACATTTACTCAAGCACTTTTCAATCTGGTTTCCAAAGGAAGGACGCTAATGAGCTGGAAAGTTGTAAACAGATATAAATTTTATTAGTACATCTTATGCCTGATGAGGATAAAACCTTTAGTGGCTCTTCAGTTTTGGATTTGAGAATTTGATGACGTCACGTGAACACACTTTTACTTAATACTTTTACTTATACTTAATATGAGAAATCAACAAAGTAATAATAACCGAAACCATTAGAATGCGGTTATTTCATGTTGTTGTTTTGTAGAAAACGAAATGTACCAAGAATTATAACGCATGTGCACAGCCATTAAATTGCTCATAAAGCGTTTTGTTTGGTGACGTCCCATTGCCGTTGTCAGTGTAGTTTGCTTTAACTCTCTAAGAAAACCGCATGAACGGCAGAGGAATAAATATCCACACGAGAACATTGCAAACGAAAACCTGAACACAGCCCCAACCGAACAAACAGGCGGTTGAGAGTACAGAAATCATCTGTGCTATGAAACTTCTTTTGAACATCAAAACGGGTTAAAGATTTTCACTGCATTTCCCGCCTTTTTGTCTCAAGTACTCTCGAGGAAAACGCGAGGCCTTGCGTGTAAATTCGCTTCGGCTGTCCACGCATCGCGCGCGCGAGTAACATCCTCAGAAGAAATGGGTACCATGTCTTAAAATAACCTTGGGCCTGACTTTGGGTATAAGGCTTATACGGAGGATTAACTGTCTTACTTTGAAGTTTCCTTGGTGACAGATAAAGTTGTGATTGGCACTACGGGTTATTACTAAACGCGACAAGCGTTTTCATATTGTTTTCGCCGGGTTGGTTCATTTTGCACCTTTACAGGCAACCGTTGGGACCACCTTGTTCAACAAAATTAACAGAGCCACAAGAAAGTACTGTGGAAGAGTTTTCTTCTGTACACTCTCTTTTTTTTTATAAGAAGATTTACAGTTTTACCCCTTTTTTTGATTCGCGCCTTCATCCTTAATTATTCTTGTTAATATCTCACTTTGTTATACTATTTATTGCTTATTTTCTTTTTATTTCTCACTGCACAACTGAAGATTGATGATGTTTTATCCGAAACATGTATCGTTTCAAAAACATCGTGTGGTTCATCAAAGCGATATTTTATGAGAATATCGAGGCTGAAATTTGCGAAATTGTAAGAATATTTTAAGAATACATCCAAGGCTGAATTTTTGAAAAGCAAATAAAAGTACTGCTGACTGGCGTTTGCTTCATTGTTTAAATGGCGGGTTTTTATCCACAGAATTAATCAGTCAATTGATCAAAAGAAAAAAAATATATAAATTGCGGATATTTGACTTTACTGATTGTGCTTCTCAGTTTCCAAGATATTCTTGTAGCGCACAAATATTTTCTTACATGCTGGCACGTTTACCTGTGATACTGTGATCGTGAAATGTTATGAGTCGGTAATTGCAACACTTGTCTTGGATGAAAACACCTATGAATTGTAATAACAGTTGTTGTGTTTTGTAATAACACAGCTGTTGTAAGTAAATATATGAAATATCGTATATTTGAACTGCGGAGAAAGATATGAAGACATAATTGATCATCACAGTTATATCCACAGCTTAAGCAGCTGTGAAATCAAAGCCTGAAAATTTGCAAGAATCCGAACTGTCGTAAAAAATGTAATAGCACGTCATATTTCGCATTGTAATAGCCCGTAGTGCCAATCAGAATTAATTTCATCTGCCACTTAGCTCTAACAATCCAATGCATGCAAGAATACGTAGTATGTAACAAAAAACCAAGCTAATGACAAAACAGCTGATACTATGAGTAAACTTTATTTCATTTTTTTTTCGGGTGCAGTGTAGGGAAGTCCAATCAACAATAAAGGGTGTGAGTTATGCAAGTAAATACATGAGAAGAAGGGTGGGAGAGAGGGAGTGGGGAAGCCCCCACCCCAACCCCTTGACTAACATTGTGACTTGCACCAATCTTCTTCATTCTTCTGTATCTGATACACTTGACGAAATTTAGATCTCTACATGTTGCCCATACCACATTCTAAATTCTACAGTATGACGGGAGTCAGGTTAAGTCCATTTGTGGAGGCACTCTGATCAAATAGAGTGCCTAAATAGAGTGCCTAAATAGTTAGACCCCGGAGTTGAAGAGTCCTCACCAAGCTTTTCGTGTTTGGGCAGAATGGTAGCGTGTGAAGGACTAAAATATACCATCCAGGGAAGTAACAATATTCTAAATTGCTTCAAGATATGGAAAAGACTGCTACACTTGGAAGAGACGCAAGTTCTTATCAGAGGCCTCAGTACTCTTCCCCCCAAAGAGCTCTCCTTCAAACAAACTGTTCCCTGGAGGATTTACATGTATGTAAAAACCAGGCCTCCGTCCCTTGATCAGTGGAATAAATTTGTATAGTTTGTGTCGGAATTGTTTCGCTGGGCTAATTCAGTTGGCAACTTCACGGATTCGCTGAACTTTTTGATCCATCTAGGAGTTCACAGATAGCACAGATTAAAACAAAGTGGAAACATTCTGGGATTCAGCTATTTTAATTGAAAGGAAACTCAGAAAACGCTCAGAGTTTGGCGCAAATATTTGCGTAAAGGGCAACAAAGTTCATAAGACTCCATTGCATAGTACGTTTCATATTGCAGTTTCTGTAACGATTGCTGTAGTTATCAATTAAAGGCCAAACATGCTTTGTTTCCATTACGGCGTTGTTCAAATGACGTTTTCATTCTCATTGCATTTATCCCAGAATTAAATAAAAAGCTTGTGACCAGCAAGAAAAAACAATAAAAAAAGGTATTGATTTTCCTTCGTCACGGAACTGCCTCAAAATCAGAGTTTGTCTGTCTTGGCATATTCTTTTGTTACTTTTTTCGACTTACCTAGACGCTTTCACAAACGAATCTATTTGAAAGTTTTCGTCGTTTAATGAGATAACCCAGTTTTACTCGTACTCTTTGGCAATCTCGATGTATTGTGGCAATTATTGTGGTAATCATTTTTGCATTTTGTGATGCTCAGCTTGGCTCAAGTTTCTAAATTTGAATCAGCGCTTAGCCAGTGGAAATGTGACTGGCAGGCCTAAGAATATATTCGCTTTCCTCGACTTTCCTTGTGATATTTAAGGACTGAAGTACTTAAGTTTTCCAAAGATTAAATCCTTACATGTACAAAATGCATTTTGTATATGAAGTTAATTATTTTTATTTTGGCCCCTTTTTGGGTGTTGTTCCATGAAGGTAGGTTCCGTTCCAGCTAAGGTTAATGAGCCGGCTCTGTCAGCCCATTTAGACTACAGATGAACGGGGAAGCGCTTCGCCACCTTTACGAGATTTTCCGAGCTGTTAACATCTGCCTCGTAGCCCATTTGAACGAGAGTCAGCGCACAATTCTACATTTCGACGGACAGGTCTGATAAGCCCGTGAGATCCACAATTTTCGTGATGTGCGCGTGCGCAATGATGTGTTTCTGTTCAAATCTATGGTACAAGATTTCTTGGGCTTTCCTGTAGCCTTTTTCTGGTCCGGAAATTATAGCACAGTTCTTAATGGCTTCCCTAGCCTTCCCAGTACAATGTTGAATAAGGTAAGCTAGCCTCGTCTCGGCGTCCAGTACCCTATTAGCGATGTTGACCTCGAAGTTGTTTATGAACAAGCAGTAGTTAAGGTGGTATGGTACCCTCAAATGGACCAAAAAGTTTGTTTAAATATGGTGAAGAAAGATCAATTGTGTGCTATTGCACTCAAGAAGAGAAATTAAATTTCTAGAGTTTTACTCAAAATGGTTGCTATGGAAACCAGCCACAGCCTTTTGAAGTAGTGTTTTATAGTATTGACGCCAACACTTCCTGCTCTTTTACAAAACAAGAATTGACTGTGAAATAAGCACATCATGTAAGTTTCTGTTTTGTTCTGTGATATGAACCTAAGTTTTGACAGTTAACTCTTATTTTCAGTGCTTTTTACAG